AGAAAAAAACACTTGAGTCAGCTAAAAAGGAACAAAAATTACATCAGCATCAAACTTCTCATCAACAAAATGGTAGAGTACCATGAAGCAATGCTTTCAGTGATTTGCGGAAGAATGACTTTTAATCTAAAATTTTAAATTCAACCAATGTATCGATCAAATGTGAGGACAGAATAGGAACATTTTCAAAATGTAAGGATTTGAAAGTACCTTCTCTAAGGAAGTTTTTTAAAGATGGACTCCATTTAAGTAAGAGAAAAACCAAGAAAGAGAAAGATAACAAATCCAGTAAGAAGTGGCTCTAAACCAGTGGAGAAAGAAATAATATAATGATCCTTAAATATATTCTCTATTGAGATAAGTTTATAGATATCTTTCAGTAACTACTACATCCCTTATGTAACTTAAAATTTTACACAGAATTTTAAAAATACTACATTTTCAGGAAATAATACAGGTTATCTATATGCCAAAATACTCCAGATGAGAACTAAAGTGAAATTTTTATATTAAAGAAATTCTAAAGAATAAAAGAATAGTTATATGAAAATCAGGTATTCTGCAAACAGCTTAGAATCCTATCTAATAATAGACAAACATGGTAATTAACTATACCTCTGACACACTTCCCATTGGCTAATCAGGGCGATATGCAAATTAACTGCCAACCAAGATGGCGGCCAGCAGCCAGGCAGCTGAAGCGAACAGGAGGCTTGCTTGCTCCAGTGATGGAGGAAGCCAAGGTTCCCCGCCTGCCGCTGCCGGCCTCTGAGCTGCACTCTAAGAAACAATGTTGCAATTATAGAAGCTAAACAAACCCCAGAAACCTGCTTTCAGCCAGCCGGGCCTCAGAGCTGGAGCTGCAACAGTGTTTCAATTATAGAACCCAAACAAACCCAGATACCTGCTTTCAGCAGCCGAGGTCTCAGGGCTGGAGTCGAGCCTCAGAGCTAAAGCTGGCTCTCAGTTCCAGGGACAGCCATACAAGGTAAATAAATCCCAGAATAAAAAAAAAAGAAAAAAAGGAGAGGTTGGGAGCTTCAGTCACCCACCAGCCTGAAAACGACCCTCAGCCCCTCATCCAGACTGGCCAGGCACCCCAGTGGGGACCCCCCAACCTGAAGGGGGTGTGACCAGCTGTAAACAGCCATCATCCCCTCATCCAGGCTGGCCAGGCACCCAAGCGGGACCCCACCCTGATCCAGGACACCATTCAGGGCAAACCAGCCGACCCCCACCAGGCCTCCGGGGAGCAGGCCTAAGCCAGCAAGTGGTCATCCCCTGAGGGGTCACAGACTGCGAGAGGGCACAGGCTGGGCTGAGGGGCCTCCCTCCCCCTCGAGTACACAAATTTTTGTGCACCGGGCCTCCAGTATAATAATAAAAGCATAATGTGCTAATTAAACTGGACGTCCTTCCAGATGAAGCCAGGGCTGCAAGGGAAGCCCGGGTCCCGGATGCCTGCTGGAGGCCAGAAGGAAGCCCAGGTCCCAGGTGCCAGAGGGAAGCCAGTGCCAGCAGCTGGGAGAAGGAAGACCTACTTTTGCACAAAGTTCGTGCATCAGGCCTCTAGAGAGTGTGTGCGTGTGTGTGTGTGTATGAAGGTATTTATACATATATATATCATAATCATCTGAGATATAAAGGCTTATTATAGTTCTAATAGTTTTAATGACTTCTACAAAACGTAGGAAAATGTTGACTCTGTAAATTAGTCCAAATCTTTCCTACTTCTTTTCAATTAGCTCTAATATTTAGGGAGAAAAAGAACTATAAAAACAAAAATGACTTACATGTGAAAATCACAAAATTACAACCTGTTGTAAATACATGTTTAAAATTAAAGGGAATCTAAATGTTTTTAATGTTTCATTAATATTTAAAAGATTTAAAAAAGCAGTTTCATATTTTTCTTTCAAGTGAAGACTAACTTGACAAATTACAGGTCTTCTAGATTCATTTTTTCCATAATTATTTAATTATTCATTAGAATATGTAAGACCAATACTAGAATCTTTGTACCAGTGGCTCATAAATGGATATGATTATCCAAGTCTGGTTATACAATCTCTTACATAAAAACAATATATTTCTGATATCGATGTCCTTAAACTATCCCAAAGTAAAATTAATATTTCTACACAGAAAAAGAAGAAACTATTTGGTCCCAGACAACTTGATAACATCTCTTTCAACTATAGTTATAATTATCATGTACAAACTTCCAAAGCAGAAGTTGTCAAGATTTAACATTATCATTATATATGTCATAACTGATGGTTATAAAAGATAATGGGAAAGCATCCATTTCTCCAAAGACAGCATAGATAAAAAGATAAATTTCTCCTTAATTATTACTAATCTGACCATTTTTAATTAAATTGATTAGTAATTTATTATCTTTCCCTTTCTTAGAAGGCTGTTATTATCACAGAGCTTCTCCAAAGTTATCAGTTATCAATGATTTTTAAGCAATCCAATTACTTCTTGTGTGAACCCCACCATTTTGTAATACTGGCTTATGCTATAACTTATTAAATTTCTTTATATGCTGAGAAAGAAATTTTAAAAAAAGCAAAATTTGCACTCAGTATCTCATACTGTCAAAATCCTAGTTGCCCTTATGGAGAGATGACTATTAAAAGTGGACTATTAAAACTCTTATGTTTTCCCTCTTGTTTGATAATCAAAATAGTTTTCATTAGCATGTATCTTCCCTAAAGGAAGAAACCGGGTCCCTGTGATTTCCTTTGGAAGTATCTACTTCTTACGCTATCCAGAACTAAACAGTAAATTATGGAATTATTCTAAGTGTTTCCCCTATCAGTTTCTTTTTTAAAGAATAAATGAAAATGTTGTTATATACAAAATAAATACTTTAGTCAAACAAACTTTAAAGGAATTTAAATACTTTATATATTTTTAATCAAAATCCTTAATTGATATTAAGCTTTGATCAGCATCAAATTTAAAGTTTAGACTGAAGTAATTATTTGGAACTAGCAAATTGACATGGGTTCATGACTAACTTCTGAAAAGCTGAACTCTGAAGATTAAGAAAATGCAATGCAATATCCCTTTGTAGAGTAAGAGACAGAAATCTTTCTTCCTTTGTAAAAAAAAGAAATTAGTTAAGTCACCCAGGAAATATTGGTTTTAATTCTCTGTTTCATTCTATATGCTTATATGAATTGACTCTAGTTGACTGGATAGAATTCATATTTAAGGACTGAATTCAAATACTTGACTACCGATGAGAATAAAAAGATAATCTCCATTAATTAATACTTACTGAATATAATGCCTACTAGATAAATAACCCCCCACCCCCACTTTCCCTCCTAAAATTTCTGTCTAGAGCAGTGGTTCTCAACCTTCCTAATGCCGCAACCCTTTAATACAGTTCCTCATGTTGTGGTGACCCCCAACCATAAAATTATTTTCGTTGCTACTTCATAACTGAAATTTTGCTACTGTTATGAATCGTAATGTAAATATCTGATATGCAGGATATATTTTCATTGTTACAAATTGAACATAATTAAAGCATAATGATTAATCACAAAAACAATATGTAATTATATATGTGTTTTCCGACGGTCTTAGGTAAACCCTGTGAAAAGGTCGTTCGACCCCCAAAGGCGTCGTGACCCACAGGTTGAGAACCGCTGGTCTAGAGAAATTAACAATGAATATGCAACAGCTGCCAAACTCTTACATATAGGGACTTACGTATTTAATTCATACCTCTTCTACTAGGTTTAATACAAGAAAGACTGAAATTTAGTATATACCTATATTGCCCAAAAGCAGTCAAAATGACTGCATTGTGAAAGAATAATATCGGAGCACTCTTCACTTATATTCCATAGCTTTTCCAATAACTCACTTCTATTCGACATTTCTTTCATGAATTTAGGGCGCAAAGGAAATAAAATAAACAACTTATTAGAACAAGTATCACTGCATAAAGATTCGAATAACAAGTACTAGTTTAGCTTATTGAGCAACTGCAACTTATCAAGTATCGACAATTTATCATGTACTTGTATGTTATCATGTGACGGTAATCGAAAAAAAATGAAAACTGTTATTTCAATACAGAGCCGAACTGGTCATATAAGAAATTTACTCAATTCAATAATAAGAGTCATTTGATTATTTAAAATTTCCCAGGCAGTCAAAATGACTGCTTTTGGGCAATATAGGTATAACACATATATATATATATATATACCGGAAATGAAGGAGGGGGAGGTAACTACAACTATTAATAAACGCATTTATATGTTATACAAAAAGTCACAAAATTCTAAGACATTGTGTCCTTATATACATAATTGTTTTTCTAATTGAAATTAAAAAGCAGTCAAAATGACTTCCTTGGGCAATCTAGTGTTAAACAAGGCTCCGTTTCTCACTTCCCGTAGGTCTAGTTAAATTTCACCCTATCAGAAAGGTCTTGCTTGGCCACTCCCTGCTGTCACTCTCGTCACCCTGATTCTTTCATTCCTCTTCATAGCACCCTTCACCACCAAGCATATTGTTCATTTGTTTGTTTGTTTATTGTTTGTCTCCTTCCAGGGGAAAGTAAGCTCCTACAGAACAGGATTTTGTCTGATTTGCGCAATGCCCCATTCCCCAGTTCCTAGAACTATACGTCAAGCTCACAGTACGTATTTAAAAAGTATTTGTTACAAAAAAAAAAAAGTGATTGAAAGGTCATCAGTTTCAAAATCCTAAGGAAAAAAAACTTAGCTAAATATCATCTGACAATCCTGGGTGCCAAACTATACCAAAAGTTTTATTTTTAAATAATATTTAATAGAAAGGTATAGTAACAATTTTCTTTTCTATTCAAAAAGACAAAAAAAAAAAACCTTCCATAGTGCAGTTAGGCTACTAGCAGTTATAAATTATTTATTACTAAATAAGTCAATAAATGTAATTTTGCAAATTATATGTGAAATTCAGTAAATGTAATTGGTCACTCTGCATACCTTAACAAGTTTCAAAAGCTCATAGAGGTCTTCAACCTCATCACCTTCACATTTGGAGTACACTCGTCCTGTATCCACACTCCTTCCTCTTATGGTTCGGCGATAGAGGGGAAGAGCCATGGCTTCTGCATACAAGTCAATGGCATGATGGCCCACTGTCTGATACATGTAGCTATCCAGTTCATCTGACCCCACTGTAAAAAAAGGGGAAATAATCAGTAAAACTGGGTGGAAAAAAAAGTGGATTTGAAAGTCTATCTAGTTTTATTGCTTAGAGAACAGTTAACACATAACTTAAAAGTTTACTATACTATATCTCTCTGTATTCTGAAGTGAAATAAAATAAGTTGCACATTTTCCCTTAGTTACATCCAAATATCAACAGCTATAGTAATCTCTACTGTTGATTATAAATACAATCCTATATAATAAAGAGCTAATATGCTAATTAGACTGGATGGTGGAACAACCTTCCAGCACGACTTTCTGGAACAACCAGTGGGTGGGGGTGGGGCCACAGCCAAGGCGGCCAGGCCTGAGAAGGTGTACCCTTGCACGAATTTCATGTATCAGGCCTCTAGCTATATATAAATTTCAGGCCTCTAGTTATATATAAATTTTTAAAACTATGTAATTCTGTTATCAGAGAAAAAGTGTGGATGGTCTTTCTCTGTTGCTAGTGGGAATAGTATTCTTGGGATACTGCTGGGTTAAGCACTTCCAGAAGTCCCCCTGGGAGGATGAAATGTGGTAGAAAGGTTTATTTCCATGGAATTATATACCTGGGTTTCAAAAGTCCCACTTCCCTTAATTTGGTCCTGGAAAATGTGCAGCTGGGGATTCAGTAGAGCTAGAAGCAAACCCAGTGTCCAGAGCTTCCATTCCATGTTGGAATTGGGTCTGGTACAGCAATACACTAGTTGCAGTCCATTAGTCCATTGTGTGGGGTGCACATGGCCGTGGACCATGCATGCCCCTTGCAACAAGAGAGCCAGGAGCCAAGAATGCAAGAGTGTGAATTCCTTTGTTTAGGAGATTAAATATCTCAAACCTTCCAGCACTTGTGGTGGCCATGCCTACTCTAACCAATGACCTGTTTCCAGGTGTGACTGACCGACAAGTACCTTCCCTATTTCACCCAGACTTTACGGGAGTAAGTCTATTCGCCCCCTGTCCAGGCCCTTCCCCCAGCGATCTGAGAAGAATAGACTGGTGATTTCCCAGGAAGTGTTAAACCGCAGGTTCCTGGCAAAGCTGCAAAAATGACATATAATATTTGGCCTTCCCTTTGCTCCTTTCCTGTTATTATTAAGTAGGTTAAATTATAACAGTATCACAATGAATGTTTAAAAAGAAATCTATCCAATAAATGTTTTTTAAATTAATTCAAGGTTATTCACAAAGTCATTGAGTTATAGCAGAAAAGCTTTCTTAATTAAACATCTACTTAGTGAATAAGTGACAAATATTTGTAGAAGAAAAATTTAGATTCTCTTGTTATGTTTTATATGCAGCATTGCAACAAAACATCTATAATAATAATAGTGTAATATGCTAATTAGACCGGACGTCCTTCCAGATGACCTTCCAGACAAAGCCAGGGCTGTGAGGGAAGCCCGGGTCTCGGGTACCTGCCACCGGCTGGAGGAAAGCCCAGGTCCCGGATGTCTGCTGGGGGCCAGAGGGTCTCCTGGAGGGAAGTCCAGGTCTCAGGTGCAAGAGGGAAGCCGGTGCCAGCAGCTGGGGGAAGGAAGGCCTCCTCTTGCATGAATTTTGTGCATTGGGCCTCTAGTCCTATATAATAAAAGCCTAATATGCTAAGTGTCCATTTGTTTGACCATTTGACCAGTCGCTATGACGTGCTCTGACCACCAGTGGGCAGACACTTCCACTGGTAGGTTAGTTTGCTGCTGGAGTCCAGCCAATCGGGACTGGGCAAGATGGGTGGGACAGGCCCTGGAGCCCTCCTGCGGTCTCTCCCCGGCCCTGATCGTGCACCAGTGGGGTCCCTCGGCCTGGCCTGCACCCTCTTGGAATCCAGGACCTCTCAGGGGATGTCGGAAAGCCAGTTTCAGCCCGATCTCCACAGGCCAGGCTGAGGGACCCCACCGATGCATGAATCCGTGCACCAAGCCCCTAATATAAATATACTAGCATATAAGTTCAATATTTTTAAAGCATTTACAAAGGTGTATAGAAACATAACTTAAGCTAATTAAGTTGACAATCAAGGTTGTAACAAGATTCCACAAACATCTACTAGTACAGTGATGGCAAACCTTTTGAGCTCGGCGTATCAGCATTTTGAAAAACCCTAACTTAACTCTGGTGCCGTGTCACATATAGAAATTTTTTGATATTTGCAACCATAGTAAAACATAGACTTATATTTTTGATATTTATTTTATATATTTAAATGCCATTTAACAAAGAAAAATCAACCAAAAAAATGAGTTCGCGTGTCACCTCTGACACATGTGTCATAGATTCGCCATCATTGTACTAGTATATGGGTTAAATATTTAAAACAGCTGAGTCACATTAGAATCTTTGGTGATGTAAACAAACTTAGAAATATATTGCAATAGACTCTGTGATCTCATAATTTTACTTTTCAGAAAAAAAGATTATTTACAAAGATATTTATCACAGCATCTATATATATAGAAACCTAAGTGATCAGCCAACTAGCCAGTAGCTATGACGCGCACTGACCACCAGGGGGCAGACGCTCAACATAGGAGCAGAAACTACAGGCTTGAAAACATAGAACAGGCTGATGAATCTCAGAGGGAAGTGGGGAGGAGGGAGAGCGGAAAGCGATCAACCAAAGATCTTATATGCATACTAGAAGCCCGGTGTCCCTCGGCCTGTACTGAGGGGATCGGGCCAACACCATCCTGGTGCACAGATTCATGTACCTGTGGGGTCCCTCAGCCTGGCCTGCGGGGATCGGGCCATAACTGGCTCTCCGATATCCCCTGAGGAGTCCTAGATTGCGAATCTGTGGTGCACTGGGCCTCTAGTTATTTATAATAGACTAAAGGTCCGAAGCATGAAATTCGTGCAAGGGGCTTGGCCCTCACAGCCCCAGCTGCCTCGGCCAGCCCTCACAGCCACGGCCAGCCCTTGCAGCCCCGTCTTCATCCGGAAAGTCGTCCAGATGGTCGTTCTGTTTGGTCTAATTAGCATATTAGCTCTTTATTATATAGGATTAAAAACTATACTATATCCATGAAATACTATGCAGCCATTAATTAAATCTGAAGAGCTTTCTCTAAGTTATATTCTGCAGAAAAGAAATATCATAGATATTAATAGGCATTGGATATTAATAGGTAATAGGACAAAGGGATTCCCTGGTCAAATAAATTTTTAAACATGAAGCTAAACTCTGCTAAATAAGTGTTTTTGCTGCAATTCTTCCTAGGCTACTGTGTTTAAGTTGCTCCACTGAAGGGACAAAGTATGAACTCTCTCTCCTCTCTTTCAAATGTATCTATTCATAGAACACTTAGATTTCATATGGTACTTGTATTCCAAAGAGGATATCTAGAAAATGCTATGGTAAAATAATACTTATTGACACAGAATATGTTCACAAGATGTTAAGTTAAAAAAAAAATGACAAAATAATTTGTTCAGCATATATGTTTGTGTGTGTATGTGTGTGTGTGTGTGTGTATGCATATATGTCACGCAGGTCCAGGCTTTCCACTGAATGTGAAAGTATCCTGTCAAAAGCCATGAAAATGATATTGTAAGGAATGGCCCCTTGAGTAATCAAAACCATCAACCATCTGCTATCACATTTTGGCTCACCAATCTTCTGAGCCCACACATTAGACTGGGACCCACACTCACATTATTATTATAAATCTGTGTACTCCCGGTCACATTAGGAAGAAGAGATACAGCCAGTTACCTAAAAAATCTTCAGCCTACCTCATCTCAAACTTACACATTAAATGTATTAGTTTTAAAAAACACTGATACAGTCAAATTAATATATTTAAAGAACTTTGAGCTACTTAGCAAGAAACTTCCTGATGCTAGCACAATAATTAAAATATTTTACTGACATCAAAAACCTAGAAGACTATTTTCCTTTAAGGCTCCATTCAGTCCTAACCACACTGTAACTTTTATTAATTCAAGCTACATAGTAACAATGGTATGAAATCAAGTAAAACCAAAAGGCTCCACTGTTGCCTGAAGCACCTCAATTAACATGCCACAGAAGTTCCTACTACAAATTTAAAGAGATGGTTTTATGAATTCTATGACAATTTCAAATTATTCCATTGATGAGGATAAATTCTTTTCCAGACAACCTATTAAAACCCAGTACTATGAATTCACTATAACCAACTTTACACTGGAGTCATCTCCACCAGTCATTCTTCATTAAGGTTCCTTTTGCAACATGTTTGGGCGGAAAAGAAGTCAATCAATGAATCATTCAATAATCACCAACTTCCTGCTAACTTTAAATAAAGATTAGCTAAACCGTCTCCATCTCCCAACCCACAGCCATCTATTCTCTTCCACTACAATTACTATAGTTTCAGCTGACTGTTTCCAGCTTTTACTTCATAATATTCCAATTTACTAACAAGTTTTTCTTTCATAATATTCCATTTACTAATGATTTTTTTCTCACTAACAATATTCTAAATAAATGTCTTCATTCCACTGTGAACTATAAAGATATACTTTGCTTGTAATCTTACCCACCCTGCCAGTGAACCATTAACACATGGACGATTATATAGTAACTAGAGGCCTGGTGCACAAAATTCGTGCACTGGGGAGGGGGGTCCTGCTGCCTGGCCCACACCCTCTTGCAGTTGAGTAGCCCTCCGGGGATGTGTGACTGATGTCTTAGGCCCGTTCCCCATGGGAGCGGGCCTAAGCCGGCAGTCGGACATCCTTAGCACTGTGGCAGAGGTGCTGCCGTGAGCCTGGCTTCTGGCTGAGTGGCACTCCCGCTGTGGAAGTGCACCGACCACCCAGGGGCAGCTCCTGCATTGAGCATCTGCCCCCTGGTGGTCAGTGTGTGTCATAGTGACCAGTCATTCCCAGTCTTTCTGCTGTTAGGGTCAGTTTGCATATTACCCTTTTATTATATAGGATAGAGGCCTGGTGCACAGGGAGGTGGGGCTGGCTGGTTTGCCTTGAAGGGTGTCCCGGATCAGGGTGGGGGTCCCGCTGGGATGCCTGACCAACCTGGGTGAGGGGCTGATGAGTGTTTGCAGGCTGGTCACACCCCCTTCAGGGTAGGGGTCCCACTGGGGTGCCTGGCCAGCCTGGGTGAGGCGATGATGGCTGTTTGCAGGGTGGTCACAACCCCTTCAGGGTGGGGGTCCCCACTGGGGTGCCTGGCCAGCCTGGGTGAGAGGCTGATAGATGTTTGCAGGCTAGTCAAGCTCCCCGCAGTGGGGACCCCCATCCCATGGAGGTTTGGCCAGCCTGGGTGAGGGGCTGATGGCTGTTTTCAGGCTGGCCACACCCCCTTTAGGGTGGGGGGTCCCCACTGGGGTGCCTGGCCAGTCTGGGTGAGGGGCTGAGGGCCGTTTTCAGGCGGGCCAAGCCCCACCGGCGACGGAAGCTCTCTTTTTTTTTTTACTTTGGGATTTATTCACCTTCTATAATTGAAACTTTGTAGCCTTGAGAGGAGCTCAGAGCCAGACAGGGCGGGCGGGAGGGAAGCTTGGCTTCCTCCATCGCCAGGGGCAACCCACTCCTGCTCACTCCAGCTCCGTGGCCACGGCTGGCTGAAAGCAGGTATCTGGGATTTATTTACCGTCTATAATTGAAACTTTGTTGCTTTAAGTGGAGCTCAGAGCCAGGCCGCGACAGGCGGGAAGCTTGGCTTCCTCCATCATTGGGGCAACAATGCCTCCTACTTGCTCCAGCTCTGTGGCTGCTGGCCGCCATCTTGGTTGGGTTAATTTGCATAGTTGCTCCGATTGGCTGGTGGGTGTGGCTTAAGGTGTAGTGAAGGTATGGTCAATTTGCATGTTTGTCTTTAATTAGTGTAGACTAGAGGCCCTGTGCATGAAATTCGTGCACGTGGGGGAGAGGGGGTCCTTCAGCCCAGCCTGCACCCTCTCCAATCTGGGAGGCCTTAGGGGATGTCCAGCTGCAATCTGGGACCACTGGCTCCTAATCACTCACCTGCCTGCCTGCCTGATCACCCCTAACCACCTCTGCCTGCTGGCCTGATTGCCCTTAACTGCCCCTGCCTCGGCCCCTGGCACTGTGGCTTTATCCGGAAGGATGTCCGGAAGATGTCTGGTCTAATTAGCATATTACCCTTTTATTAGTATAGATTAGAGGCCCAGTATACGAATTCATGCATGGGTGGGATCCCTCTTCCTGGCCGCCAATTGGGGGCCATCTTGCCCAGTCCCGATTGGGGCCATTTGGGGCTGGCTGGTTGGAGGAGGGACAACAGGAGGTTGGCTGGCCGGGGGTAGGGACCACAGGAGGTTGGCTATGGGAGCGCACTGACCACCCAACAAGCCGGAGGGGAGGGACCACAGGAGGTTGGCCAGCTGCAGGAGGTTGGCTGTGGGATTGTGCATCATAGTGACCAACCGGTCATTTGGTCGACTGGTCTTAATGGTAGCTTTTATATAGATAGATTATGTCAAGTATGTATTATATGTTATATAAATATATGCTTTTAATACCAAGACCTCTCAAGATAGAATGTTTTACAAAACCCACATGCCTAACTAACCAAGGATAAAGGAGTCTCTTTTGTTTTGGTAACAGAATATAGCCTTAAAAAAAAAATCTGTTCCTTCTTTTATAATACAGAAGTTACTATACAGTTCCTACTCATCCTTAGTCAAGAGTTATCTCTTTATTATTTAAAATACAGAAATAGGAGGTTTTCAAAACAGCTCACGTCTAAAAAGCTGTTATTACCCATCATCAGAACTCCAGTACAAAATCCTAGAGTATATGTTTACCCCAACCTTCTACAGAACTTGTTCTATTTCTTCTGGTAAAATATCTTTAATCTCCATCTTCCCACTTCACTTTCAGCTTTACTTGGGTTTTATTCACAGAAGGAAAAAACATCTGACCAATAACTGCTGGCTATTCTATGGCTAATCCTAGTTAGTTTATTATTCATCTGTCCACCAATAAACTGAGTGAATGCCTACCAGGTACACAGAGCTGTCTCTAGTGCTGAGGAACTGACCTTTCCTCTGAAGAAGCTTACAAGCAATCTACCTATTTAGGGATAAAAAGCAAAGACAAAATAAACAGAAAATAGTAAAATGATATAAAATTAAAAATTCAATAGTCTGACAATTTTGAAGAAGGAAAGATGAAGGAAGAAATGAAGGAGGGAAGGAGGAAAAGAAGGAAGGACTGATTGATTGATTTAGAGCTAGCTTCAGATTCAACTACATTTATTGGATGCCTACCTCATGCCAGGAACAATGATTAGTGTTTTCATATATAGTGCTCATTTAATTCATCCTAAAATAATAGTATAGCACAAGTATAGAGTCTTGAAAGAAGATGAGTAAAGTGAATGATAAAAATATTTTACTAAAAGTATGAGGAAAAGTATTAACAAACTTAGACAAGTGTTATTCTCTCTCTATGGCACTTTAGCAGTTAATGTTTATAATTATATGGTTATAATACAAGAGTATAAAAATCAGTGAATATTTTCCTTTTTTTAAAGGTCTAATTGGGAAAAATAATTATATAACCATGTGGTGATGGATGTAAACTAAACTCATGGTAATCATTTCACAATATATACATATGCCAGATCATTATGCTGTTCACCTTAAACTACTACAAGGTAGTACATGAATTATATCCCAGTTAATAAAATATATTATTGAGGGTTGACTGTATCCCTCCCAAATTCTTATTTTGAAGTCCTAACATCCATTACCTCAAAATATGACCTTATTTGGATATAGTGTCCTTGCAGATGTAATTAGTTAAGATAAGGTCATTAGGGTAGACCCTTAATCCAATATAACTGGTGCATTAAAAGAGGAAATTCAGGCACACATGGACACAGAGGAGGAAAAAGTTCTAATTGGGGAAATGTCATTGTTGAGTAATCTGAAAAAAGTACCTAAAATGAGGTCTGTGGATTATTTATGGATGTCCTTGTTACTACTGACAAAAAGTGAAAATGTATTACTTTATACATCTATCAAGTCTCATACATTTAGCTTACATCTAAACTAAACTAAATATTTTATAATATTTATAAAATAGCTAAATTAAATATTTTATAATAAAATTCATACATTATCATCTATCAATACATGTCTTATTTCCCAAGCTCCTAGTGGCTCTATCTTATTTACCTATGTAGTCCCTACAAAACTTGGAAATGTGTTGTGGTAGAAAGACAGTGTGAAGTAAGAGAGTTCAAGGCTCAGCTCTGCAAGTTTGTCTTGCTATTTTGCCTTGGACAAATTTATAAAACTCTGAGCCTCAGTATCCTGTTGAATAAAACACTCTAGGAGTTGTTATGAGGATTAAAGAATATGTAGTTGAAAACACTTAGCACTGAACTTAGCATCTAATAGGTGCTAAAGATGTACTAGTTCCTTTTATATTTTTGTAGACTATATACAACCAAATATAATGAAGTTGGAGTTTCAGTCACTTAGAAAATTTCCAATAAAAGTATACACTGACCTTGGTTTTCAGGTGGTCTTAGATTTGCTAAAGCAACAATCTGGTGCCCAGCAGCAATGCACTGCATCATATTGTAACAGCTGTCCTTCCCACCACTAAAACATAAAGAGATATATATAAGGTTACTGACCATTATTCAACAGAGAATCATTAGGTACCAAAATAGAACACATTTATTTAGCTCTTCAAAATTTGGGGGCCTACCTTAATTTAGAATGCAAAACACCACATGTACTTTATGTAGCATAAGCAAACTGAATGAACAAATCTGAATGTCTAAGGTTGATATGCACAAGAGCTTATGAAATTATATGCCACTATAACAAAGACCATTCTAAACAAGATATGACAACTCTTTGGTTTGTGACAGTAGCTTTACTCAATATACAAAGTACTTGCAAATAAAATGATTTAAGTTTACATTCCAGCCCTAGCTGGTTTGGCTCAGTGGATAGAGTGTTGGCCTGAGGACTGAAGGGTCCCGGGTTCGATTCCGGTCAAGGGCATATGCCTGGGTTCCGGGCTTGGTCCAAGGGTGAGGCATACAGGAGGCAGCCAATCAATGATTCTCTCTCATCACTGACGTTTCTATCTCTCGCTCCCATCTCCATTCCTCTCTGAAATCAATAAAAAATATATTTAGATAAGTTTACATTCCAACTAAATACTTATTATATATACTTTAGATGAAATTCTCTACAAAAAAATAGAAAAACATCTGTTACACTGTAAGAAATCTAACAACTGGCCTCCATCACCAATTAAAGGATCAAATTAAAAATCTGAGATCCGCCTGGCTGGCCTGGCTCAGTGGTTGAGTGAACCAGGAGGTCACACTTTGATTCCCAGTCAGGGCACATGCCCAGGTTGCGGACTCGATCCCCAATGAAGAGCATGCTGGAGGCAGCTGATCAATGATTCTCTCTCATCATTGATGTTTCTATCTCTCTCTCTCCCTCTACCTTCCTCTCTGAAATAAAAATATGTTTGATAAAAATCTGAGATCCACTCCAGTGACAAAGTATGACATACTTTGTGGGTTCAAATTCTGTAGAGATAGAAAGCAAAATGCCAAATTATACCAACAAAGTTAAACATCAGTACTGTCAGTACTTCAACATTTTTTTAAAAAATATATTTTTATTGATTTCAGAGAGGGAGAGGGAGAGGGAGAGATAGAAATATCAATGATGAGAGAGAATCGTTGATAGGCTGCATCCTGCAAGCCTCCCACTGGGGATCGAGCCCGTTAACCCAGGTATGTGTCCTGACTGGGAATCAAACTGTAACCTTCTGGTTCGTAGGTCTACGCTCAACCACTGAGCAACAAGAGACAGGCAGTACTTCAACTTTCAGCCATCACTATATGATGGCAGAATGAGGCTTGAGCACAGATCTAATTAACAGATTAAAAAGAGCTAAATCTGGCCCTGACTGGTTTGGCTCAGTGAATAGAGCGTCGGCCTGCGGACTGAGGGGTCCTGGGTTCGATTCCAATCAAGGGCATGTATGTTGGTTGCGGGCACATCCCCAGTGGGGGGTGTGTGGGAGGCAGCTGGTTGATGTTTCTAATTCTCTATCCCTCCCCCTTCCTCTCTGTAAAAAAATAAATAAAATATATTTTTTTTTTAAAAAAGCTAAATCTGGTACCAAATTTACCTAAGCAAGAGGCAAATCACTTAGTCAAGAGAAGTGGTACTTCATCTGCAACAAGGTTGAATGGCAAACTCTATGCTATTTGGGTTTCATACTGTTCTGCTTCTCACTATACATGCTTCTTCCTTTCTTTTAACATTGCCTCTCTTCCCTTTTCTTGCTCCTCCAGTTTCCCTTCTTTCCAATTTTCGCTTAAGATCTGCAAATGTACCCTGAGGCAATGTTTAGACCTATTCATAGCCCAAAAAACTAAGAGAGACTTTTTATTCTACAAGCTGGCCTTTTCATCTTTTTAGTGCATAACATCTGTCTGCCTCTACCATATTCTGATCAGTTTCAGCCATCATTCCAGAACTTCACAAGGGGAGAGATTGTAAGGGACAAAATGAAGTTACACATCACACTCCCTTTCCTCAGATTCTGATATTCCCATATATCCGTATTCCACAACTTCACCTACTGAACTTCACTGCTCTATTTCCATAGGACAAAAAGATATAATTCTTTAGTCTCTCTCTCTCTCTCTCTCTCTCTCTCTCTCTCTCTCTCTCTCTCTATATATATATATATATATATATATATATATAATATGCAAATTGTTCCCACAGGAGTTCAACCAGGAGACCGGTCGCTTGCTATGACATGCACTGACCACCAGGGGGTGGCGCTGAATGAAGGCAGGCCCCGGCTGGCAGCCGGGGAAGGGAGGTCCCAGCCAGCAGCCAGAAGGCCCCAATCAGCCCTGATCACCGGCCAGGCCTAGGGACCCTACCTGTGCATGAATTTTGTACACCGGGTCTCTAGTATAGAATAGTTAAGATGAAAGGGTATATCTCCACAATTCTAATTCCTTACAATATTAAAGATAAAGGATATACATCTGAAATCAGAACTTAGCTTTATAATTTATTTTAAAATGCTAAGCTTTCAAATATGGTTTTAAAATAGTATTTCCTGACCAGCTGGTGTGGCCCAGAGGATTGAGCACTGCCCCATGCACCAAAAGGTTCAATTTCTGGTCAGGACACATGCCTGGGTTTCAGGTTCAATTTCCACTAGGGGGTGTGTGAAAGGTAGCTGATTGATGCTTCTCTCTTCCTCTCACCTCTCTATGTAAAATCAATAAAAACATATCAAAAAATAGTATTTCCTAAATTGTGTTCTGTGGAACACTACTATCCAACAAGTACTCTAAGGACAATGGTTCTCAAGGTCAAATAAGTTTGGGAAATACAGATCATCTTATCCCCTGAAAAGTCACAGAATACATTAGGATATGTTATGTAAGAAATTCCACAGAAAAGATCAGAATTTTAATTTCCAACTTTTGGATACTAGCTATATTACTCAATGTGTTTGTGTTTATATACTTCATTATAAAATCAGAGAATGGCCTAGCTGATCCTCAAAGTGTCACTCAACTGTAAAATTCAATGATTCTATCTTTTGTGTATTAGAAAAATAATGTTCTTTATGGTCTAAGGCAGGGGTGGGGAATGCCCCACTCTGGGGCCTGAGGGCCATATAAGGCCTGTGAATCATTTGGTCTGGCCTTGCCAAGGCATTAGAGGTGAGTTAATTAAATGTTTGACAAAATATAGCACATTAATTTTTAAGTTGATAATTTTGTATGGCCCATGAATTAAGTTATAAATATCTAAATGGCCCTTGGCAGAAAAAAGGTTCCCCTCCCCTGTCTAAAGAAAAGGATCTTGATTTCACTTACTCTCTAAAACACATACATATCTCTCTCTCTCTTTTTAGTGCACACACACACAGACACATGGCAAATAGAGTAGATTCACTGTATTTAATTAACTCCATACATACTCAAGCATACCAGTATATGCACGTAAATGTATATTATATGGGTACTATATATGAATACATAGCTCATATGTATTCATATATATATATATATATATATGTATGAATATACTGCATTCACACCTACAGTATGTCTCCTAGCATTTATACAGATCTTACCATTTAGCAAGAATTTTCCAACAATGCCTTTTTTAATTTGTTTTATTAGAAAAGTAATGTATGCACATTACAGAATATTTAGTGTAATGGATTACACCAATCTTCTCTCCTTCCCTCCCAGATTTCAGAGTCTTCAGTTGGTGTCTCTTTAATGGTTAAACTTTTGGCAAAGTGAATATAAATGTAAATTACTCATTTCCTGGACTACTTTTTATTCTTTTCTACCTCCTAGATCAAATGAAGACCCCAATGGTCAAAGCTTAATCATTCACTTTACAAAAGAAATACACTGAATAACAATACTTCTTGACCCTACAGTCTCCTAAAAATGGTAATGAAATAAAAGAAACCGGAATATTCCAGAAGGGGTTAGTGTTATGTCGAGACCTTAATAAGTCAGTAGCAACTACCAAGGCATTGAACAATAATATGAAATTTTCAATGGGTTTGCAAAGAAAATGCATGGTTGCAACGTAGATCAGACACCCTATAGAGATCCAAATCTCATCAAACAAAATTCAAGTAGACTAAATCCCCCCCTTTTCCTGTTGTTATTGTGTTCCCCTTTGCTTCAATTTTCAGATTGAGTACGGAAACATTTTAACGGGCCTGTCTTCGGTTGTTGTAGGACTTTAGACATCTAAATATAACGGGTTGCCATACATTTCAAAGTCCTTTTGGAATATGAAGTATTACCATAAGTTATTCTAAAAGCAACCATCGTGTATCTGAAGCAAGAGCTTCAGATCTAGGGTGTGGGGGATGGAAAAGCGCTTACTATGCAAATATGCATAACCCTTGGACACAGACAATAGCGCGGTGAAGTCCTGCGCTGGGGCGGGGCGGGGTGGAGGGGGCACAGGGGAGGAAATGGGGGATATCTGTAATACTGTCAACAACCATTAATTAATTGCTTTTTAAAAACTGGCACAAGTCCATCTCCATCCTTAAGCGCCAAGGTAAAATACATCCATGTCCTAAGCCACCCGGACACACCTAGAGGCCAGGTGAGGGAGAGGAGGGTTTATAATAGAAAGGGTCAGAGAGACACAGCCTCGGGTGGAAGGCTGGACCCAGAAGACCGGCTTTAAAGACTAAAGGTTAACACAGAGGATGAAGAAAGCCGGGAGAAAACGGCGGAGAGTCACGCTGTGGCTCTCAAACTTCCCAGCAATTATAACTTTTAGGAATCCGCCCCCGGGCCGTGTCAGGCTAATGAAACCAGCGCTCTGGCCTTGAGGCCTCAGCATCAGCAGTTCCTAGTTCCCAAGGTAAATCCGAGTCTGAGGGACAGAACAAAGGGGGCGGCGACCGGCAGAGAGGAGGGGCGCGAGTCCGAGGCCACGGGCCCCGCCGGGCTGGGCGCCGGCCCGAAGGCTCCGCCTCTTCCTGTGGCCAGAGGGGCCGCCTGAACCGTCGCGCGCTCCCCCACGGGCAGACTCTTTCACGGCCACGGGCGGTGGCGGCGGCGGCACTTCACGCCCATCAACAGAAAGGGGCTGCAGGCTGCCAGGGGAGGGAGAAGGTGGCACCAGCGCCAGGTTACCTGATCAAAGCCGCGACCCTCATGCTGGTCGCAGTGCGCGTGCGTGCGGCGGGCGGGTCCGTGACGTCATTGCAGCCGCGCCCGGGTGGAAGCGTGGCGGGGCCTCACGCTGGTGTTCGCTCCGCTGCCTGTCCGCCTGTCCGCTTGTCTGACTGTCCGCCTGTACTTGCAGCTGCCGGGGGATGCCTCCCTGGGGAGCATAGGCCACATTGGCACCTTGTCCCTGGGGTAGGGACATCCCGGCCCAGGAAACGTGGGTTTAGGCGCGGCCTGACCACCTAAGTGAGGGCACTGAGGTTGCCAGGAAAAGGGCAAAGTCCGGTTGCAGGGTCCAAGCACCTTGGCGATGTATTTGTACAGTCACTTATGCTGTAAGTTGAAGCACTTGTGGATGTGCACAGGGAGAGGAAGTTTGCTTTTGCTTCCTCAACCACCCCCAAGAAGCACCCTTTAGTTTTTTAGTTTATATGTCCTCTGTCCTCCAAACCTAAATCTGTTCCTAGCCCAGAGACCTCTAGGCTCCGTGTGGTTTTGACCCTTTAGTAATGGAGAAGCTAGCTGAGCAGCCAATTAAGGCTCATCACCAAAGCGCAGCGGCCTTGCAGAAAGAAAATCAAACTTGTAAATTCATTCACCAAGTAGTTACATATTGCCTTTCAGGTACCAGCCACTGTTTTAGTTTCTTGGGATACATTCATGAATAACACAAGGCTCACTTCCCTCATGGAGTTTATATGGAGGTGGAGAGAGCAGACAATATACAGGTAAAAATTATATAGTGTGTTAAAAAGTGGTAAGAGCTCTAAAAAAAAAAAAATAGAGATTATGAGGTATCAGGAAGGAGGAGGAAGGGCAAGTTGCAGAATTAAATAGAGCATCAAGTGGGACTTAATAAGGTAAGAGTTGAACCAACTAAAAGGAGGAGAGTTATCTGTGTAAAATGGGATGTGCTCTACACAGAAGAAAAAAAACTAGAGCCAAGACCCTAAGTCCTGTGAGGAAGGAAGAAACTTTATCCTCCTCCATTTTTTTTCAGGGTTTAATAATTAAATCTATGTGAGACGTTAATAAGAGAAAATAAATTTAATTACATACCTACATATGGGGACACCACATACATGAGAGAGTTGGAGACCCCATACATAAGAGGTTCAGAGACAGAAAAATGAAGTATATATGGCATTCTTGGCTAAGGATGAGATCACGCACCTTGGGGTTTCAGAGGATCATTATAGGATGATAAGAGCAGCATATGTTCAGTAATTAGTAGTTTACCTTCACATATACATAGGTCAGAAAAGGTTATCTTTGACAATAGCATTATGCGAAAGGTCCCTCATTCTAATTCTTCTGGTGGTTAAAGGGGGCTGGGCCCACAGGATCTCCATTGCCTTTAGCTCAAAATAATCTTCATACCACAGAGCACATCTGAGGGTGACATTCTGAACCCCTACTGTGCCTGTGTTTTTGTGGAAGAACAAGGCTGGTCAGTGTGGCTTAAGCAGAGTGAGTAAGGCTAAGAGTAGTGGAAGATGAGGGTCCAATGATGGTGTTAAGTAAGTGCCTTTTTATTAAGCATCTCTTCTCTGATCCCCCTCACCCTCTTCAAATATTGTTTCTCTCGCCATCTCCCGCCGCCTTTTTGAAACTTTCTATCTGAATTCTGTCACTTAATAATTTTTTTTTCTGGTTGCCTAATGTAACACTATTACATGTGTGTGTCTTCTTAAAAAACTGTATAGTTCCCCACATGAAGGCCTTCTTCTCAGAGCTGCCATACAGAGGCTCTGTGCTTGAATGGACCCTCAGGGCCAAAGTATAAGTAGTGGGTTCAATCTATTCCAGTTTAATATGTATTTGAAGTTCTGAAATAGACCCAACCAATGGGAAGTCCTGACCTAAAGTCCATTAGAAGAATCCAAATTTGGTCAGGAACAGCCCAGTTCTAGTACTTCTTCCATACTCAGTCATTGTCTGAGAGCAGTGCAGGAAAAGCTTGGCCTGGTGCAAACTTGGCAGTGGATTCCAAAGTGCTTCAGCTGGAATCTATCAATCAGTTCATCATAAAGCTCTTCGCTGATTCCTATGAACCCCTCTTGCTAAGGATAAACTTAGAAAGGGGAAAATAATGGGTCAAACTGTAGTCCCTCTCATTGCAGTTTGTTTGGGGCTATTCTGGTACTTATTCTGTTCTCCACTATGCATCCTCATACCCCTTTCTCTCAGCTATGGCCTCCACAGATCTTGTTGAATTACCTGGTCATGCCACCTAACCATTCATTCCTCAGGGGTCTTGGACTTTGGTCATCATACTCTTCTTACCTTGGGGTTTCTGCCTGTGTTCATTCACAGTTACCATTAGGCAAGGAAATATACATGTATTTCTCCTTGTTTCCAGCCCCATCTCTTTCTGCTAATCAGAGTCAATTCTCCCCGCTTGTTTGCCCCTGGATACAAAGAGTTAAATGTGTCCTACTACTAGTAGTTTAATGGATCACTGCTGTCACCCCTGGCAAAACAGAGAACCTTTGAGTAATAGCATCTCTGACCCTGCTCAGCCCAGAGTTAGCAGGTGACGCACAAAGTTCCCCAGTGGGTCATTGGGAGGGACTATAAATGAGGCCATCCTTGCTTTCACCCCTTGGTTCTCAGATCCATGTATCTTTTGTATAAGAGATACAGTGCCATATAGAGATCTCTGATTCAGTGCCTGTACTATATCCTGAGGAATGGTGTGGTTATCATTTCAAATTACTGCCTCTCAGCTGCTCAGTTAGCTCTTCCTTCAGTAAGCCTTTCAAGTACTCTATGAAGGCAGCTTCATGTCAATACTGCAGTATTGATATGACAGATCCCATGAATATGGGCCCACTCCCATACCTCCTTCCCTATAAAGTGATTTTTCTTATTAAATACTCTTCTGAATGGGATTCTGTGCCTGTAGAGTTATTAGGGCCAGCTGAAGCTGTGCTTATAAGAAAGACCAGGTTAATGCTCCTACTGTGCTCAAAAACTGGGAAGCAGCCCAGGGGAAAGAAGCATGGCCTGCCATGAACTCCCCAGTTGAAAGGTGTCAGGCATCTGTGCTCACTACAGCAGGGATGTTTGAAAGGAGATCTGAGTGGGTTACTTCCATGGCTGCCCACCAAGACAGAATGACTCACAAAATAACATAAGGAGGAGAAGAAACATTTATGCTATTTCGTTGACATTATACACTGTTGGAGTAAGAAATGTAGAATAAAGAGTTCATTCAAACTAATAGTATTTGAAGGAAAGTCCATCTGTATTTATGGAAGTCTAAGTTATAAACAACAGTATTTTTTAAGGAAATAGTTTAATTTACTTTCAAACAAATATACTAATCCTGCCCAGCCAGCATGGCTCAGCAGTTGAGCATTGATCTATGAACCAGAAGGTCATGGTTCTATTCCAGGTCAGGGCACATGCCCGGGTTGTGGGCTCAATCCCCAGTGTGGGGCATGCAGGATACAGCCAATCAATGATTCTCTCTCATCATTGATGTGTCTATCTCTCTCTCCCTCTGTTTTCTTCTCTTATATCAATAAAAATTTATTTTATATATATATTAATCCTGACCATAGTAACATACTAATATTGAGTCCTGGCAAGGTGTTTTTAAGAAGATTCATGTTAATGGGGAAAACTTATTTTTAAGTAGAGGCCCGGTGTATGAAATTTGTGCACTGGGGGAGGGGGTGTCCCTCAGCCCAGCCTGCACCCTCTCCAATCTGGGACCCCTTGGACATCCTTCTCATCAATCTGGGACTGCTGGCTCCCAACTGCTTGCCTGCCTGCCTACTTGATTGCCCCTAATCACTTCTGCCTGCCAGCCTGATCACCTCCTAACCACTCCCCTGCCAGCCTGATTGACGCCTAACTACTCCCCTGCCAGCCCGATCGCCCCCAACTGCCCTCCCCTGAAGGCCTGGTCGCCCCCAACTGCTCTCCCCTGCTGGCCTGGTCGCCTCTAACTGCCCTCCCCTGCTGGCCTGATTGCCCACAACTGCCTTCCCCTGCCGGCCATCTTGTGGCTGTGGGTGCCGCCATCTTTAAGGGTGTGATGGTCAGTTAGCATATTTCCCTCCTTATTGGCTGTGGGCACCGCCATCTTTGTGACAGCATGAGGGTCAATTAGTATATTCCCTCTTTATTAGATAGGATTAGTAATATCCATTTGCCTATGAGTAATTTTCCTAAATTTCAAGAAAACATGGCTTAGTAAGACCCTTGCATGCATAGTGTTCTGTATGTATAGTGTAAAGGTGACTACAGCTCAATCACTGTCAACAAGTAGAGTTTAAAGCAATTCCTCTGATAGACAGTGAAATGATTGCCTGAGATTCACCTTTCAAAGGCCTTTGTGAGATCACATCCTAAAGTCTCAAATTGTTACATACAAATGACTCTATGTATTAGTTTGTAGAGCCAACAAGATAGGTGAATAGAAAGTCAGCCTCAAAAATATCTCAATCCCTCGCCAGTTTACTTAAAGGGAACTCTCCATAGCCAAACACTATTGCTGGTAATAAAAAAAGCTGCAGGCTGTCCCTGAATTCTGCTCCCTTGGCAGCACATTTCAATGATGTACTGATTGGTAAAGACTCAGATAATCAAATAGAAAATGCCACAGGTGATTACTCCTCAGAGACATTGAAAGGATTTAAATCTCAAGTCAGGGCACATCCCTGATGCCATGGCATACAGGAAGCCATCAGAAGGTTGCCTGGTGAGGATTCAGGAAAAAAGGAATGAAGTAATTATTTGGAGCATAAATGTAAGGACATCATAGTATGAATGTCTTGGTGCATCTATAGTAATAATAATTGCAGTTCATATGGGCCAGGCACTTTTGAAGTGTTCTTTTTTTTTTTTAATCCATTCAGGCAAAGGTGATATTTCATTTTTTAATTAAATTTATTGGGATGACATTGGTCAACATAATTATATAAGTTTTAGTGTGGGTTTCTATGTTACAAGATCTGAATATTGTACCATGTGCCCACCACCCAAAGTCAAATCTTCTCCTGTCACCATATATTAGGACC